AAAGATGCCAAGAGAACAAAGTGACCAATACAAACAGATACAAGTGGACTGATGAACCTTCTAGGTGGGGAGGCATTTCTCAACCATCATTCAATCCTTGCCTCAGTCTTTGGAATTTTCTATATAATTTCAGTAACTTATGCTGATCCTTAGCATATCTGCATGGTGACACAGGATGGTTGTTGCTGCCTGGGATTGAGGAAGTGGTTGAAAGTTTAAAAACAACTAAGACTTCCTTTTGAACAGGCAGGGTGGCTCACACTTCTAATCTCCTAGACGTGGGAAGCCAAGGCATTAGGGTTGCAATGAGACCAGCCTGGTCCAAATTTTTTAGGTCAGCCTGGGCTACAGAAGCCCAGCAAGTGTCATTACTCAGAACCATATCATTGGCCTTTGTTTCTTGTAATAACAAAAGTATCTTAAAAGTCATTGTCCTTGCTCCTTTGTTTTCTACTCAACCCACTCCTACAGACTTTTGCCCCAGTCCTCCCCACTCCCCCCCTGGCTATCACATTCTTTAGTGACTTTTGTGTTGCTAAATCTGGGGGTTATTTCTGTACTTTGAATTCCTTCCCCTGGGTTTTTGACTCACACCTTCCTTCCTTAGAAGAGTTTTCATTCTCTTTCCCCTTGACTTCTGAGGCACTGGGTATTTTGGAAAGCCTTAGACACAGGCTTCTAGAATTTATTGAGGAGATTCTCTTGGGGGAGCATACTTAAGGGAGGGAATGGGGCTTCGGAGGCAGAGAAGAGCCCGGTTAGAAAACTAACCTAGCTGCAGACTCCATGTTAAGTCGTTCTCAAATTGCTCAGTGAGTGTAGTTTAACTCTACCTTCAGAATAGATGGTCTTAAGGTGGCACATATACTTAAAAAATGTGATAATTCAATTCTCAGGTGAAGGTATATTCGGAGGCAAATGCTTTACTCTGAATAGTTAGGATATGGGATTTCTTTTTCTTTCTTTCTTTCTTTCTTTCTTTCTTCCTTCCTTCCTTCCTTCCTTCCTTCCTTCCTTCCTTCCTTCCTTCCTCTCTCTCTCTCTCTCTCTCTCTCTCTCTCTCTCTCTTTCTTTCTTTTTTTTTTTGTTTTGTTTGTTTTTCGAGACAGGGTTTCTCTGTTTAGCCCTGGCTGTCCTGGAACTCACTCTGTAGACGAGGCTGGCTTCGAACTCAAATCCACCTGCCTCTGCCTCCCAAGTGCTGGGATTAAAGGCGTGCGCCACCACTGCCCAGCTAGGATATGGGATTTCATTGCAGTGTACAAAAATGTACGAACAAGTGTGTAGAAGTTAAAAATTAAAAATTGAGGACCAGAGAGATGGTCAGAAGTTAAGAGCACAGACTGCTCTGTCAGAGAACCCAGGTTCAATTCCAAGCACTTACTTGGTGACCAACATCTCTAATCTCAATTCTAGGAGATCCAACACCCTTCTTAGTCCTCTGTGCTTACAAATATCTGTATATCTGTCTGGGCAGGCAAATACCCATATGCATACAATAATTAAAAATATAAAAAGTTCAAATGGTTTTTCTTTTATTAAAAACATTTTTATATATAGCATATTCTGATTACAGTTTTTCCTCCCTTTATTCTTTTCAGTTCCACCTCCCCTCCACTCCCATCCAGCTCCACCCCCATTCTGTTTTTCATTAGAAAACAGACAGGCATCTAAGGGATAATAATAGAATAAAATAGAACATAATAAGATAAAGTCAAATGATTTTTTAAAGTTTACAGTTTATTATAAAAGAAATTTTATTGTAAAAACTCTGTGTCCACTTCTCTATATTTATTTACATCATTTAAAGAAAGTGAAGGAAGTACCCATCAGAGTGGAGAGATAAATCACTAGTAAAAAGTTCTTCACTATGTCATTCAATAGGTCTACAATAAATATCAAGTGGCATATGTAAATTATAAATTTGTCTAATTTTTTTTTGTTAAAATGTAGAAAAAGTTGACCAATTCCTAGACATGAAAGACCTACCAAATTAATCCAAGGAAAATAAATGAATCCACAACAGACTCACTATGTAGACCAGCGTGGCCTCAAACTCACAGTGATTATCCATTTCTGCTTCCCAAGTGCTGAGGTTAATGGGAGGTACACCATCATTTTTGGCCCAGTTCTTGAAATCTTAACAGAATAAAACAAGAGAAGAGAAAGAATCAAAGACATACAAATAGAAAAGGAAGAAGTCAAAGTATTATTATTTGCATGACATTATTTTATTCATAAAATGTCTTTAATGACTGAGTCCACCAAAAACCTCCTAGACTTTGATAAATATGTACAGTGAAGGAAACAATCATTAGAGTGAAGAGATAGCTTAATAGTAAAATATTCTTTACTTAGTACATCAAACATGGGGTAACATCTAAAGTGTATAAAGAACTGTAAAATCAAACACCAAAACACCAAATTCAACAAATAAATGACTAATGAACTGAACAGACATTTCTCAAAAGAAACACAAATGGATGATAAATATTTGGAAAGTCTTCAAGAAGTATGGAAATGAAAGCTGTTTTAGAAGTTCAGCCTTCCTCACTTTAAATGCCTATCACCAAGAAAACAAATAAGACCAAATGCTGACAAAGATGCTGTGGGTGTGGGGCATGCGGGACAGGGAGATACTGATTCACTCTTGGGAGTATAAAATGGTGTAACCATTATGGAAAGACATGGAGAGTGTTAAAAGTAAAAACCTATTATATGTCTCAACTATATTACTATTTGATCTATACCTGCAAGATTGTAAATGAACACAGCACAGAGGAATTGCACACCTCTGGTGATTCCTGAAGTACTGACAATACTGAAATAAAGGAGCTACCCTGAGTGTCATCAACTGAGGAATGGGTAAAGCAAATGTGTCACCAAGAAAATGGCCCATACATTCAACTGACCAGCATTCATAGGTGTTCACGAGACTGAACTGACAATCAGGGAGGCTGTGTCAGTCTGACTTAGGTCCCTTGCATATATATTACATATATATAATGGTTGTGTAGTTTTTGTGGGCCACCTAAAAGTGGAGTGGGGACTGTCTCGGATTCTCTTGTCTGCCTTTAGAACACTTTTTCTTCGACTATGTTGCCTCATCTTGCCTTAATAGGAAGGGTGTGTCTAGTCTTATTGCAACATGATATTCCATGTTTGGTTGATATTCCTGGGAGGTCTGCCCCTTTATGAAGGGAAAGGAGGAGGAGCTGATCTGGGCAAGAGGGGAGGTGGGGTTGGGGGAGAGCGCAGGAAGGTCTGGGATTACTGGAGGGAGGGAAAAACTGTGGTTGGGATGTAATATATGAAAGAAAAATAAATTTAAAAAAGATACATGGTATATACACAATGAAATTTTATTTCATGTTCATGACATTTTTAAAAACACGAGTGAAACTAGTGATCATTAAGTGAAACGAGCCAGCCTAAGAGTGACAAATATCACCTGTCCTCTCATAGGCGGAATCTAGGTTTCAGTGTGTGTGTGTGTGTGTGTGTGTGTGTGTGTGAGAGAGAGAGAGAGAGAGAGAGAGAGAGAGAGAGAGAGAGAGAACCACAAGAGAAGATTGAGTTATAAGGAAGGAACAGCTGGTGTTGGGGGTTGTGGAGCCGGTAATAAAATACACATGTGTGTAGGCAGAGCTTCCCAGGGATGGGAGCTGGGGGAAGGGTGGCTTTGCTGACACAGGGGCCTGCAGAGGAGATAAGGAATAGTCAAGGGGAAGGAGTGAGTCAGACAGGATGGTCAGGGGAATCTTACAGCTCTCTGACTGACCAGCTAGCAATCAGATTCCTCTTTATTTATACAAATTTCACAGAACAAAGACAGACTAATGATTGTCCAAATGGTACAGATATGTGTCTGATTTCTTATTACATGTCCAGGGTTACGAGTTTATTTACGATTAGAAAGTATAAACAGAGCATATTTAATTTTTATTATCAGCCCTATAACTTCTAATTTAAAGAATCTAAAGAATGTTTCCTCCAAAGCAAACACATTTGTTATATGACAGCCTTCTTTTAGTCTGGCAGTGTTTGAAGTTTGAAAGCACTCCACACAAACAGAGAATATCTGAACCAGTCTTTTTATGAATAGCAAATATGAACACACAACTGCTTTTACTATATGCTTCATCATCTACGTGATAAAGTAGGACAAATTTATTTTAGTTAATCTATTTATTGACTGAGCTTTATTCCTCCAGGGGTGTACTCTGTGTCACCTCCTACCTTTCAACTACATCTTCAGAGAGCTCTGAGCCTATAATAAAAAGAGGCCTTAAATCTGTAACCTACTCTACTGACCAGTCAGAGTTTGTCAGTTGTCTCTGTTTACCTTGCACTGATTATGCTGTTTGCATTTGCTCCCAAGAAGATCCCTGGAGTAATGGCCTCACCCAACTATATGCTTATCTGCATTTACTCATTTCCAGGGTGCAAGGAAGACTTACAAATAGTGGCCAGATAAACTTAAGGATTTTCCTAAAAATATTCAGACATCATTTTTCTCAGCAAAAGACATAAAATGAGTCACAATGCAGAAAGTCCCCAAGAGTGTAACACACAGAGACCAAATCCCAGAAGTGAGAGACAGAAGGACAGCAGTTGTAGCATTCGGCTTAGCCTTGCTGAAATGATGTCATGTAGTGGTGCTGGCTTTATGATTCTCACCTTTTCCAGTGAATATGGCTACAGCGTGCACATTATATAGAACCAGAAGGGAAAATATGGTCTGGAGTTGGAGATAGCAAAAGAGGGATAGAGAAGAAATGGGAGGACTGTAGGAAGATGGAGAAATAATTAATATGACAGATGCATGAAAATGACATAATGAAACACATTACGTTACGTGCTAGCTTAAGAAATGGATAGAAATAATATCGTTACGTTTACTTAGGTTATATAGATGTCAGCAGAGCGTCTTACCTTACTGCTTTTCCCATTTGGAGGTAGATGACGTACAAATACCTTATATCTCTATATGTTTACAGTTGACATTACTAAATCTGGGAAACAACCTTTTACAAGAAGTTCCTGAAGAGATAAAATACCTTACCTCCCTGAAGAATCTTCATTTATTTGGAAACAGGATTTGCAGAATTGCTACTGGAGTCTTTGGTAAGTTAGTTATGTACAGTAGCGTTGCATTTAACCTCTAGAATCTAGTAATGGGGCACAAAATAAAAGGAAATTTTATTGTGCTGAAATTAAGGAACTTCTGAAGTAACACTTAAATTTTTTTTAACCGATTTTATTTTACTTGGGTTTTTCAAGACACGTGTCTCTGTGTAACAGTCCTGGCTGTCCTGGAACTTGCTTTGTAGACCAGAATAGCCTTGAACTCACAAACATCCACCTGCCTCCGCCTCCTGACTGCTGTGGTTAAAGAAAGGCATGGGCCACTCTGCCCAGAATTTTTAATTAAAAAAAATACTGTTTTGAGAATTTCACACATGAATATAATGTGCTTTGATCAAATATATCCTCCACATGCTCTTCTTCAACCCCTTGTGTATTATAATCATATCCCCATTGAGCAGAACAAATTCACCAAGGTCACAAAATGATTCCAAAGCTAAGTCAACCATAAGCTTTCTTTCTTTAGAATTGTGATAGACTAAAAGGTTTAACTTTTTTTTTTCTGGAAAAAAAATTCACATGAGACGAGACAGACAGAACAAACCCAGAGGCTATGTAGTTCATGAATAAACTGCTTTTGTTCTGTTGGCCTTTTTAATAGTTTGGTTTGGATGCCATAATTTTCAGGTTGTAGCAGTCAGGGAAAGCAGCCTTTGTCTGTTTCAAATAAAGATTAAGCCAAAACGAGGTTTCCTTCCTTAATTGCAACAGTTTCCAGGAGCTGTTTGGGCAGTGGTAGCCCTGGACGCTGGAGCTTAGGAATGCCATGGCTTAGTGGAGCAATCGTGATGGAGAATTCAGCCATGTCAGTGCAGGAGTTGGCTTTACATGAGTGCAAAGTAGAACCAGAAGCTTCAAAGAAAGGAAAGCAATCAAAGGAAAGACAGGCTGTGTGGCCAGACCAAGGTAGAGAGGCCTGGATGAGAAAAAGTAAACTCCATTTCTGGCTCTGCCTTGTAAGTTCTTAGGTCCAGTTTGTGGCCAGCCTGCTCTCTTCTTTGTCCTCAGCTCTGTAACTGTGTGACACATTTCCTCTTTTTGCCTTAACTAGTTTTACTAGAGTATCTGTCTTCAGCAATCAACAGAACCTTGGCCTAGGCAAGCATCCACAAGGAATTCAAAGGCGTATAGAAAGACTAAAACTTTTTTCCTACCAGATGGCTAAAATGTCAAATTATTTTCTAACAGATGGCCTGCGACACTTGATTCTGCTTAATCTGAATGATAACCAACTTACGAGTCTTCCTCAAGAAATTGGCAGGTAATTCTGATTCTAGTGAGGCTTGGCTAGATATTACATTCCTCTCCTCACCCAAACTCCATCCCATTTATCTGATGGTTATAGGCCTAACATCAAGTAGTTAGGTGGGTACAGATAACAGAAGTGTTAAGCAAGCCACTGATATTTTTCCTCTTTTGTGTGTACCATATATACATGTGTGTAGACATGTATATATGCATGTGTGTAGGCATGTATATATGCATGTGTGTAGGCATGTATGGTATGTGGAGAGACCACTGGGTGACGTAGGGATGACTTCCTCAGTCACTTTCTACTTCATTTATTGAGACAGTCTCTTAGTAGAACTGGAGCCTAGGCTTTGGGCTTGACTGGGTAGCAGCAAGTCTCAGGGATCTGTGTATCTCTGACCCCAGCTCTGGGTTTACAGACATGTGCCAGGCTAGAGGAGGTCACATCCAGGTCCTCCTGCGCGCAGAACAAACATTTGACCAACAAAGCCTTTCTTCAGTCACTAAGTTTAAGCAGATGATTCCTCAACTACTTGAGAGAAATGAGGAACAGCAGGGAACGTAAGAGTAAAAGTTGGGGTTTGAAACATAAGGTCCTAAATTTGATGCTATTGATATGCTAGCTCAGGGGTTCTTGGAGCTTGCTCGGCCAGATTGGGAACATTAAATTTTATTTCACCGGGATCATAAACCATTTTGAGCTGTATGGCAAAAGGTCATATAAAAGCAAAGGATTAAAATTATGATGTTATTTTCATTAAATAAAAAATGGCACATTTTATTATCATTAGCCACAACCAAAATCTGTTGTTTTCCCTAACCCTGCACATCTGTGCAGACAGGCTATCATTAGAGATTCTCTGGAGCCGGCTGACGGCCTTGTCCTTCTGAGGCAGTGTACAGTCTTTGAGCTGTTTCTCTGACAGATGGAGAGAATTCTGCTCAGGTCTCCGTTGGGGACTCTTTATTGCCTATTGAACAGAAACGTATGAATTACAAAGAGACTGGGAAACTGTGAACAGTCTTCAACACAGGATGGCTCAGTGAGCCTATCCTATTCCAGTTCACTCGTCTATACTTCTTTCCAAATTCCTTTATAGGGAATTTTATAGTGCTTTAAGTGGAAGAAACAAATAAATAAAAAGAAGCAGTCTAATTTCTGTGGAAGATAAATACTAAGGAAAATTAAAACATCAGTAGTTGCTTGCTTGCTTTTCCACAATTTTGATTTATAAGAATTGATAATGATACAGTGAACAGAAAAAGACCGGTTCAAGAGATCTGGTGAATCAGGTTTAGGATATATCTGTGTGCAACTAGCCTCGGAACAGTTAACTGCCCTAGATCTTATTCCCTTTGCCTTTTAATGGGAGATTTTTGAATAGCTGAACTTCACACCACTCATAGTGATGGTATGATTTTCCAGTTTGAGAAGCTGTCTGTGTTTGGAGTGGGGTGTGCACTGTTTAAGGAAGCAGATAGATGTAAGGGGATATATAAGAAGATGAAAGGACAGCTTTCATCTGGAAAGGTAGGGTCACAAGTAAGCCCCCATTGTTTTTATAGCTAGCTCTAAGCTGTCCATATTCTGACCAGGCCATAAATAGAGCTAATTGTCCATCTCCCATCCTGGAGAGGTTCCTTTTATTTTCAAGGTTTTAATTTTATTTTTAAAGTATGTGTACACTTATGTATGGTATTGTGTTTAGAGACCACAATCCACCATTTGGGATGTATGTGTGTCTATGTGTGGATGTGTGCCTGTGAGCTACAAGTTCCTGGGGAAGCCTGTAAACAAAATGGGATTCTCTGAAGCTGGAGTCACAGGAAGTTGTGAGCTGCCCCATGTTGGATGCCGAGAACCATATTAGGGTCATCTGCAAGAGCAGTATGTGAGTCTTAACTATGGAGTCATCTCTCTAGCTCCACCGGATGGGATTTCTTTATCTTCCCTTTGTAGTTAAGGGTTAAACCTTAATGGTTTCTATCTTTACAATGAGAGTAAGAGTATAAGGTGATTTTGTGGTTCAAGATTCAGTAAGTTCTTGGGATCTGGAGAGATGGCTTAGTAGTTAAAGTTACTTGCTGTTCTTGAAGAAGATCTGAGTTCCTACTTTAGCATCCATATCTGCAAGTCACAACTACCTGTAACGTCAGTCCAGGTGATTTGCCTTCTTTTGGCCTCTGTGGGTACCTGAATACATGTAGTACACAACCATGCAGTCAGGATGTCTGTGTGTGTGTGTGTGCATCCTCTTCTCCTTCCAGAAATCAAGCAGCAATGTTAAGTTATTTTGTGAAGTTATATGTCAACCCTCTTCGGAGGAAAGGGATCAAGTTGAAGCTATAAGTGCAGAGGTCCTCTGGGTTCTGTCTGCAAGGTGATTCTTTCTGTGTGAAAGAACAAGGAAAGGACAAGGGTGGTAGGCTCCCAGTTCACCCCTCTTCTCCTGACTCACTTAAACACTTGACAGATACATTTGCAGTAAGCTCAGAGCTCCTTATAGAGTTTGGAGAAAAAGAAAACCAACTACCTATGGTAACACAATGCAGTCAACTGAAACAAGGCTGGTAACTGGGCACTGAAGAAAATGCTCCATGCCCTTTATCATTTTCATTACTTTTTTTTCATAGTTTTTAATGATTATTTCTGAAGTTTACATCTCACTCATCTCCCAGTACTTCTGTATCCACCCTGCACCCTTGTAACCTACCCTCCCTCCCAGAAAATAACAAAAAACAAAAAACAAAAAAAACTCCAAAATCTCTATGTGAAATCTGCAGTGTGTCACACAGTATATCCCTTTACCCAAACAGCTTCTTTGCTTGCAAATATTCATTGCAGAGAGACATTGGTCTGGTTCGAGGCTTCTGGCTTCTGCTACGTTATAAATACTGGATCCTCACTGGGACTCCTCTAGGATATCCTGTTGTTGCCTTGTGTTTTGGAGATCCTGTAGCTTTGGAACAGCAGGATGGGCCCTATCAACTGCTTGAGCAGTTCATAGGAGAGGTAGTTGTTGGGGTGGGCCAAATGAAAGTCCTAGATCTGGTGGTAGCTGAGCTGGTCAGCCTACCAGCTCTCCTGGCCTATGCCACCATAGCCCACTCATCAGCACTGCCCTGGTTAGCTCAGTCAAGTGCTGCAGTCCTGAGATACTATAACTTTTCCTACCTACATACTTATATTTGTTTATAGCATAAATAGTTACATATATATATATATTTATGTCCTCCTTTGTCCTCTGACTTCATCTCTCATATGGCCAATGTGTGTGTATAAGGAATGAATATAGAAGTCTTTTTCTCTTTTTCCATTTACTTGTTGTTTGTTGTTGTTGTTTGAGACAGAGTCTTGCTATGTAGCCTTGGCTGGCCTAGAATTCACTATGTAGACCAGACTGGCCTTGAACCAACAGGGGTCCACTTGCTTCTGTCTCTCCAATATTTAGATTATAGGCATGTACCGTTATACCTGGAAGAATTCCCTTTTGCTTAAATCTAGATATTATATAGCTTTCTGATTATAAATTATTTCTAAAAACTAAGTTTCAGTAGAGACCTTTTATGCTCAAAAGAGTCACAGCAGTTTTAAACACGTAACTTAGTAAGGTTTAGAGGGCCTTCAAGAAAACATGTGGCTCTTCAATAATGGATGTTCATTGTCTGATGGTTTTGAGTCACATGCTTTTCTTGTTTATTGTTTTAGGTTAAGGAGGCTTACCTACTTAAGCCTCAACCATAACAAGCTCACCGTCATTCCCAAAGAGCTTTGTTCCCTTGTGCATCTTTCTGAGCTGCATCTTAACTACAATCAGATAGTGTGCATCCCTGAAGAGATTAAGTTCTTACAGAATCTTCAGCAGCTTTATCTGGTCAGGAACAACATCGAAGTGTTGCCAGAGGTAAAGAAAATGGGCCATTGCTTTTGTTTCCATCACCGTTGGAGACGAACTCGTTCAATGTATTGGGAGGTGGTTATAAGCTAGCCTATATCATTGGTCATTTCAGCCTGCATTATAAATGACAAAGCACTTCAAAGGTCATTTGTTTTGATAAACAAAAAGGTATGAATCACTTTCTAATACATTATGAATTATGTGTATGTCTATACATGTCTATGAATGTATATTTTCTGTCTATATTTTGTGTTAGACTCCTTATGGACTCTAATTTCTCTGAAGAGGTCCTGGGGATGGAAGAAGAGCCCTTTGAGTACAAGATAGACTTGCGATTTCTGGAGTATGATCTTAACATCAAACGTTAACTGCTTTTGTGATAGTTGAGGTCTAAGAATAACCACTTTGTATTTGAGTATGTGAATGGGTAAGCAGAAGGTTAAGAAAAACCACACGAGGCAGCTTTGAGATTTGTACAGAAAGCTTCTCTTTAGTTTTAAGGCCTTGCTTTCAGGAAGCAGATCCAGGAGATGGAGGTTGATATTGGGATACTTATTACTTAGGAAATACATTTGAATCATCTGCTCAAATACAGATGGCTAGTTCTGGCTACTGGAGAAATAAGGCTGCTTGGTCTGTGAGCTGATCATAATGGTATCAGCATTTCAAAGTCCAACAAAGAACTTCAGAATTCCTAGAAGAGGGCATACAATAAGGAACTGGAGGGAGAATGGCAGCATGTGGGCTAATGCATCACTCACTTCCCAAAGCAGTCTACTGAGAGCGTTAGTCCAGCACAGTCCCTTGGGGCTCATGCATGCAAAGATCTGTAACCTTAGTGTGATGGAACAGGAAGTGTCAGTATCTTGAGGGTCGGTTCCTTATGAAGGAAACTGTCACCTTTATTAAAGAGATCCACAACTAGGCTTTCTAGTGCAGTCCTACAATCACAGCATGCGGGATCCCCCCCCCCCCCAAAAAATGCTGAAGCATCCCTAGTTACATGACAAGATTGAGGCCCGTCTGGTGGCATACATGACACCCTTTCTTAAACAAGTAACCCAAACCAAAACCAAGCTAAGCCAAAGCAAATCAAACCAAAACAGAACAAAGCACCTTAGGAGGCCTCAGAGGGACAAAGGGCTTTTTCCATCATGTGATATATTACAGGAAATTGGCAGTTTCTAACCCAGAAGAGGGCACATTATGGCCCTACCACGCTTAGATTTCTACATTTTGTGAAGGTGAGAATACATTGCTATGCTTGTTAGATATCTAATGTATAGTTCTCTGTTACAGAAGACCAACTTATCTCCTCTTCTTGACATTTACAATGTATTTACATATTAAAAGTACGGACAATTCCTGCAGCCAAGCTTCTTAACTTTGTTAATTAGAGTTTCCTGAGTCATTGCCTTGGAATTTGCCTTAGTCATAGTGGTCAAATGAAATTTATTAAAATTTTCAATGTAATTGATCTATAGTCATAAGGAATGCCAATAGTATTTAGCTTTGTGCCTATTATATAGTTGGCTATGCTGGCTTTTCTCTTTCTGGCTTTCATTTCCCTTTGTTCTTATACCGGATCTGTGTGATAGACTTGTAAGTTTCCTCCCCCTGTGAGTCTCTGAGCTTTACTTAGTCTTGCCTTATTCCACTACACAGGTCTTCGAGCCAAGTTAGAATATTCCTTCATATGGGACATAGTGATTTGCCTGGTGACAGGCTTAAGACTTAAGCTAGGTAAATGGGACAAGGTTGATGGATTGATGGGGATAAATTAGTCTCTCTGCCTGTTAAACAGGGAGAATGAAGACTCACATCTGGGGACTGGAGAGATGGCTCAGTGGTTCAGAGCTCTTGATGCTCTTACAGAGGACTCAGGTTCAATTTTCAGCACACATAGCTCACAGCCATCCATAACTCCCGTCACAGGGGATCTAATGTCCTCTTCTGCCCCCTGTGGACACTGTGAACTCATGTGGTTAACAGACATGCATGCAAGCAAAGCACTAATACAAATATATATATTATAATATTCTAAAAAACATAAAAGAATTCCTGGATCCTGATGTCACCTGTGTCTGTCCTCTTTGCTCCTCTTCTGTTGTTTTAATGGTCTACTCTTCCTGCAGTTCTATCCCAGCCACCATGTTCTCTTCATGGAACAGTTTCCGGCCAAGTCTGCTTCATGACCTGGCTTTTACAAAGAGGGAAATCTAAAGTACACTCAGTACCACAAAGTCATCATCTGCTTCCAGACAGTGCAACATGTTATAAAAGATGGAAACTACTGGATATGACTAAAGAGAATACCATTTCCCTAGGGAGAAACTCTGTCACCAAAACAATCATAGCAGTTCAGAACCATTTCTACAATACTTGAAGTCATTTAATAAATTATCCTCTCATTTTTCAATTTCAATTGGTTTTGAAGTTTCCATGTTTTAAAACCCTAGTTTATATTTGCTTTTTAACAGAAACACTAGAAATAAGATGCCCCATAACAATCATATGGTTACTATAGTAATACACAATTGCATTGGCCAGGTAGATATAGTTCTGGGTTTTATTTCTTTTGTGAAAGGTTGTGTTATCATAACGCTAAGCAAAAGATAGGTGTACTATAAATTCTGCTGAAGTTATCATAACATTCCAGGGTTATATATTTTCTGTTTCTCAGGGTTTCTCTTTTAGTAATAGATGGTGTCTAAAAGTGCTCACTAAATATTAAGCTGTTTGAATTTCATAACTCAGTTAATGCACTTAACAGTCACCAGCCTATATCATTTACATTTAGTAGAAAGTGGAAAAATTAAAATACAAAGGTGCTTAGGAAGTTGCGTATGATTATACTTAGTAACAGTGAGAGGTGGGTTTAGACCTAGAAACTTAACTGAGAATATTATGTTGCTCTGGAGGAGATAGAAGCAATAAGGTTTCATAGTTACTGGGCCCATAGAAATTTCCTTGGGAAAGACTGTCTTGATGGAGAGATAACTCTGTTTACTCTGAACCAAGTCAATACTTAAAATTTTGTATTAAAAACTCTCTTTTTTTGCTCTTCTGACACAGGAAGTTTGTCATCTTACAAACCTAAGAGTCCTGGACATAGCTGGAAATGTTATCCAGATATTTCCAGCAGGCGTAAGTACTGTCAATTGTTACTGTAATTAAAAATCATTCTGTTTATACTATTGGGACTAGAAAGTACAAGCAGCCAGCAAAAGCTGCAGTAATTGGAGCCTTGATTTGTACAATGACTCAAAGGTTTGCTTTGTTCTAGAGTTTCAAAACCCGTTCTTTTACTTCCCTTTCCCTGTGGTCTGTGCCTGCTGAACTTGGTTGAACCAAATGAACTCTGGTTGTTATCATAAATATTTAATCTATCAGTTATGATTAAATTTTTTGGTTATTACACACTGCTTTTGGTCACCTCTGACTTGTTTGAAAAGACTACTTTCTTGGGCACAAGACTTTATCCCATATAGTTAATCCAGAACTGACCCTTTTGTTTGGTGTTTTCAAGCCATTAGCTACGAAGACACACTTTCTTTCCCATTTGGAAGTGAATTTTCACTTTGTTTATTTAAAATAACAGAGACAGTTCATTTTGGCAACTTGTAACTTTGGAGGAAGTAATAGCTGTTTTTCATATTGCATTTTTGTATCCAAGTGAGCACGCTGGAACATTCAAGTAAATAATTACAAGTCCATTCATCCAGAAAGTATTCAGTAAATACCTGTGAATCCATTAATTTTATTCTTACTGATTGACTCAAAATGTAGTTTTTAGACATTTTCATCTTAATTTCATAATTAAAACTAAATAATTACCAGAAAGGATGAAAATGTGAACTATTAGGTTCAAAATATGCTTTATGAAAATATATGCAATATTCTGATTATAGTAAAATATACATCATAAAAGCTTTTTTTTTTTGGTGTTTTCAGACAAGTTTTCTTTTTATAATAGTTCTGGCTGTCCTGGACTTGCTTTGTAGACCAACCTGGCCTCGAACTCACAGAGATCCAACTGCTTCTGCCTTCTGAGTTCTGGGCTTAAAGGCATGTGCAAGTACTTTGATATAATCCATCACCACCACCTACCTCTGGAACTTATTTTGTTATCTTGCCAACTCAAATGGTGTCATTAGACAAATTCCCAATTTAGATAAATTTCCAATTCTTTTGTTAGTATCTATCACATCTGTCACAGCATTTTAAAATAAGGTATTTCTCCTTTTTTTTTTTTTCAAACTACCATTTGATGTTCTGTCTTTATGTATTTGATTACTTTGTGCACTCCACAGAAGACATTAGCTGACATTTGTCTTTTTGTGATTGGCTTATTTTACTTAGCACAGTGTCACTTGAGTTCATCTCTGCTATCAAGAGTTGAATTTGTCTTCTTTGTCTTAGACTGAATCATAGTCACTCATATCACATGCAAGTGTACCTTTTGCTTATCTTTGTTCTGTGGATTGACACTTGTGGTATTTCAGTTTTTTGCTTACTGTGAGCTATGCTGCTGCAAACTTTGTTGTACAAGTTTGAGTTTTCAGTTTTAATTTCTTTAGATATAGTCTCAGAAGTAGAATTACTAAATTATTAGTGCTTTCATATCTTATTTTCTTTTCTTGGTGTCTTTTGTCTTATTCTTTTATCTTTCTTTCTTACCCTACTGTCTGACAGAAGCATCTTAAGGAAGGGCTTGTTCTGGCCCACAGCTCAAGGGTAGAGCTCATGATGGTTGGGAAGCTAAGACATGTGCTGGGTGAAGCAACTGATTGTACTTGTCCATGTTGAATGCCAGGGCTCAGCCCTTTGTGTATTCTGGGACCCAGCCCCTGGAATGGTTCTGCTCATATTCAGAATGGCTCTTCTCACCTCTCTTAACTAGATCTCAAGAATTCCTCACAAAAATGTCCACAGGCTAACCAGTCTAAGTAATCCCACACGGGTGTGCCCCAAAGCTTGCCTTCTAGGTGATTCTAGAGCCTAGCAAACTAGCAATAAATATCAACCATCACACATTTAATATTTTAAAGGGTTTACTATACTGTTAACAATTTTATAGTTCAAATTATAGGAAAGAATAGATGTTTTCAGTGAAGACTTGGTAAAGATTCCATGACTTTATTCATACTGTGGATTTGATTTAAATCTGTGCACAGTGTGATAAAACCTTAATTTCCAGAAACATCCTTCCAATGCCCCCTCTACCACGGTACCACTGGAGCACAGACCATGGAACGGAATGATCCTCTTTGAAATCTACATTGATGTTAGAATGTTAACTTTGCTATCAAACAGATATTGAATTTCAACTTAATATTATTTATTAAATGAGTAAACCTAAATAATGTTCTTCAACTCCACTTAACACCCACCATGGTATTGCCAATAATTCAGTTTTTTTAAAAAAGTAATTCTGTATCAACAGTTATGTTTTAATATCCCTGCTTCCAATAATTTTAGCATGACTTTGGCATGATCTATGCCAGGTTCATTTTTGGAAAATTCTGTAAACCATATGAAACAAGCTAGTATACAAACTCATCTGAGCTTTGTTCCCCAGTTTTTTTTTTTTAACTCGGAATTTTAAAAGTGAGTTTTCTTTCTAAAAAAGTAATGACATTTTGCAATATTGGTGTGAAATCTATTTTCCACGTTTGAGAAATGGGGCAAACTGACAAAACACATGGCAAATGCAGAGATGAATTGTTGGCTCTGTAGCATTTTTCTACTATGTAAGTATGTAAGTGGTATAGAGTTCAGTTTCAAAGTAAGGGATGTGAACATCACCAGCAATGAAGACCACAGACTTTAACAACGAAAGACACAAACTCCAGCAATGAAGACCACAGACTTTAACAATGAAGGACACAGGCTTTAACAATGAAGATCATAGACAATAACAATGAAGAACACAGACTTTAACAATGAAGACACAGACTTTAACAATGAATAAACTTTGTCTGGAGTCATATATCCATTAGTTTAAATTTCTTAGTTCTTATTTACTAAGCTATGATTTCAGACAAGTCGAGTTGCCACTTAAAACCACTGAACTCATGAGCAGATTAAGTTTGTAAATGATTATAAAACATTTTATAGAGAGTGTCAAAAGAATGGAAAGTACTTTGATAATGAATTATCTGTGAACTGTTTGGTAATGCCCAATCACAGCACTTGTAGTGACTAGTCACTATCTATGGGTGGCAATAGGAAACACTGACTTTCTGAAGGATGTGTTTTACAACCTGTTCTTATTATAAAATGTTGAAAGGCATGAAAAATAGAAGAGGAAAGGGAAAGCCAGTTTCCCTATGATCTCCAGCATTGGAATTACATTCTGGAGAATAGATTTAATAGTTTATTTTACTGCCATGCTTTCAAGACAGGGTTTCTCTGTGTAGTCATCCTGGCTGTCCTGGAACTCCTGTTGTAGGACAGGCTGGCCTCAAACTTAGAGATCCACTTGCCTCTGCCTCCTGAGTGCTGGGATTAAAGGCATGTGTCACCATGGTTTGCTATTGCTGTTCTCTTAAAAATGATTTTTATTTGAGTTTTATGGACTAAAATTTGGTGCGTAACTTAGAAAATGTTATTTTGCAATAATATACAATTTTTTATTGAGGTAGCTTTTAAATATTTGAAGCTTATTTTTAAATAGAGAGATTTACATATATATGTGTGTGTGTGTGTGTGTGTGTGTGTGTGTTTTCTTATTCCTTTTTCCCTTCTTCCCTTCTTCCTTCTTCCTCTTGCTCCGGCCCCCACTTGCTCTGGCCCTGCTCGCTCCAGCCCTGCTCACTCCTACCCAAAGTACACTGTAGCTGTCTTTAGACACCCATATGGGAGCATCACATCTCATTATGGATGGTTGTGAGCCACCATGTGGTTGCTGGGATTTGAATTCATGACCTTCTGAAGAGCAGTCGGTGCTCTTAACTTCTGAGGCATCTCACCAGCCCTATATATGAGTGTTTTGACTACATGATTCTTTGTGGACCCTATGTATATCTGTGAACATGTGTGAGTAGCCTTGTGGGTGCTGGGAATTGATCCTGGGTCCTATGCAAGAACAAGTGCTTTTGACTGCTGAGCCATCTTTCCAGTCCCTCCCACTTGCAAAGCTGATATTTTAAATCAGGAGTTATTATACAAATAAGAATGTATGCCAACTGGAAACCTGATTACAACCATATGTCACCATAACTTGCTTAGCATTTTTTCGGTTATAGAAGTAATTGGGACTGAAGCTCTAATACAGTAAAGTCTTTGTTTAGCATGCATAAAGCCCTGTTTGATCATCAGCACGTCCTGAACCTGGTGTGGTAGCAGATGCCTGTCATGCTTGTGGAGCTAGGACAGTCAAACTTTTGAGATCAAACATTGGCCAGCCTGGGATGCAGGATCTTGTGAAACAAAACCAAAACCAAAAACAAAAGAGAGTAAAGCAATAAAAGAAGGGAGTATTCATTGTGTAATGTATGTAACAACAATTGATGAAAACAGATGCCATGAGTTTGAGAGAGAGCAAAAGGGGTGTGTGGGTGGGGATGGAGGAGGGACAGGGAAGGAGAAAATGATGTAATCATTTTATAATATATAAGTTAGATATAATATAACATGTAGTTTTATAATATAAAAGAAGTATTTTGAAAATGTAGGATTGTAAACTACAAAGCATAAGGTTCCATTAACTTTATTTTTCAGAGATATGTTATTTTTCTGTAAGTACTTAATTTTTTTTTTTTTTTTTGGTTTTTCGAGACAGGTTTTCTCAGTGTAGCCCTGGCTGCCCTTGAACTCACTCTGTAGACCAGGCTGGCCTCGAACTCAGAAATCCACCTGCCTCTGCCTCCCAAGTGCTGGGGATTAAAGGTGTCGCCACCACCGCCTGGCTAGTACTTAATTTTTACATATTAACTCTAGAATAAAATTGAAATTATACTTCACAAAAGAATCTTTTTCACTTAACATTATATATTGAATACTCTCCTTCAAGAAATATGTTTCAGATATTTGTTTTTAATCATTGGATCTTTTAAAAATCATGTTTACTCTTTTTTACTTATTGGAATAGATTGGAATGAGCAGGCCTTTGGAAAAAAAAGATTATCGGCAATTGGTATCTT